GCCAGCGCGGGGCCTCGTGCCCCTCAGGTCCCTGTGGGTTCCCAGCGGCCGGCTGGTGAGCGCCTCTGCACGTGCCGTGCGGCTGGCCGGCGCGCTGACCCGTACCCTGCCTCGGGACATGCAGTGTGGAAATGCAGAGCGTTAGAAAGAAAAGCCGGGGCTGGGGGGTGGCTCACGGCAGGGCGCCCGCCCAGCACGTGTGAGGCCCTGGGTTCCACCCTGGGCACCGCACAGAAACCAAGGAATCAAGGTCTGTGTCCAACCACAGCTAAAGAACGTGCGTCAAATATTAGATTCAGACTCTCATGTTTATGCATCGAGATGATGAGGTTTGGAACATCTTGGGCCCCTGGAAATCTACTCATCACACTCGTTTTTGCTTTTTGATCCCCCCCCCCGGGGGGTGGGACCCAGGCCTGGAGCACAGTGGCCACCCCTGGCCTCAGCCTAGAAGCTGCAGCCAGGGGAAGCCCCTGGACAGAGCCTGACCCTGCAGTTTCTCACCTAAAGTTTTGATCCAGAGACTCTGCCCCTCCCGGCTCCTTCCCAGGCATCAGAACTCACAGGTTTTTGGGATCACCTTCTGGATGGGCACATAGAGGCTGACCACTTGGCCGCCCGGGTCCAGGCGACACTGGAAGAAGCCCTCGGTTCTGGAGCCGTCTGGAGGCAGGCTCAGCCATGCCTGAGCCCCTGCTTCCCTCCTCTTGTAGGCTGCCAGGCCCCCAGGAGCCAGGGTCCAGTGCACGGTCATGCCAGGGCCACAGGCCGCCTCACACAGCAGCTCCCAGCTGACCTCTCCATCCAGTGCAGGCTCCAGAGACCAGTGGATCTCTGGGCGGCAAGTCCTAGTGGAGCTGTCAGTCCTGGGGGTGCCGGTGGAGCCCTGCTGGGGGGTGGCCTGTGGGGAGGTGGTGGTGGGGGGCTCTGATGAGGTTGGGTCTGGGCGCTCCAACGAGGTCTGGCTGTGCAAGACTGGAAACAGAGTGACCGTTTCTTCTTACTTCCCGAGCCTCATCTCCCCCTCTGGACCACCCACTGCTCCCTCTGGGCTGGACCTGGCGAGCGGGTCCCACTCTTGGCAGCCCGGCCCTGAGCTGCTGCCGCTCCACGTGCCTTGGTTTTCTCAAGTGTAAAAGGGGCGAGGGTCACCCCACCCCCTTGGGCTGCAGCAGAGAGTAGCAAGGGCACGTGCTCAGGACACCTTTTAACATGGAATAGGAATGGGGACAGGGTGTGGACTGAGGCTGGGACCTTGTAGGGTCTAGAGAACACTCCTGTAGCCAGGCACCATGTCTCACCCCAGTAATCCCAGCAGTGCGGGAGCTGAGGCAGGTTCAAATCCAGCCTCAGCAACTTTGAGAGACCCTGTCTCAAAATTAAAAAATAAAATAAAAAGGGCTGGGGATGTGGCTCAGTGGTTAAGTGCTTCTGGTTTTCTATTCTTGGTATCAAAATCCCAAAACCGTCAGGCACAGTGGCACATGTCTGTAATCCTGGCAGCTCGGGAGGCTGAGGCAGGAGGATCACGAGTTCAAAACCAGCCTCAGGAAAAAGCAAGGCACTAAGCAGCTCAGTGAGACCCCGTCTCTAAATAAAGTACAAAATAGGGCTGGGGTGTGGCTCAGTGGTCAAGTGCCCCCGAGTTTAATCCCCAGTATCCCCCCAAAATAAAAACAATCTCTGTGTGCCCCCTTCATATGGCCTCTGGCTTCTACTCCGTTTTGGAGCTCTGGGTTAGAAACCAGGAGTTCCAGGTGGAGAGTGCACAGAGCTCCCCTAGGGATGTTTCCGGGGCTTGGAGATGTGTGTAGGATTCACCCTAGAGACAGGGCATTGCCTCTGCTCCTGTTGTGGCTGCTGAGGATATCACTGTGGATGACACAGATGTCCCTTGGCAATGCCAATGGTGGGGACAGATAATGGGAAAAAAAAGCATAGGATGTCAGGTGTTAAAAATGTGGTGGAGAAATACAAGGCACAGGAGATGTGTGCCTGTGTGCCTGTGGGGGTGGGTAGCTGGGGAGCCTCACTATGGTCACCTTGGACAAAGATCTGGGAAAGGTGAGGAGGAGCTGGGACCGGTCTGGAAAGGTATTCTGGGCACAGGGCACAGCCTGTGCAAAGGCCCTGAGGCTGCAATGAGCTTCACTGTTGTGTTGGAGGAACATGAGGAGGACCATGGCTGGAGCAGAGGAGCAAGGGGTGTGGAGGGCAGGGTGGCCAGTTCTGCCTGGGGAGGGTGGACCTGAGCTTTGACCCTGACGAACATGGAGGGACGTGGGCAGAGCAGGGTACAGGGCAGGAGCTGTATCTGTTGAATTAATGATTCTCTCTGGTGGCCACAGGGTAACAGACTAAAGGCGGATCCCAGGACAGACTGTGTGAACAGCTCCCAGCAGCCGAGACACACAGGTGGATGAATGTTGCTGTCCAGGCTGGAGGGGGTGGGCCTTGGGGATGCCAGGACCCAGGAGGCTCACCTGGAAGGGCCCGGCGGTGGCTCAGCTCCAAGCCAGGGAGCCGCATGGTGGCCTGGCAGTGGAGGGTGGGTGGGGCAGGAGTCCCCAGGGGGGGCAGCAGCCAGCGCTGTGTCACCCGGAACAGCAGGTCCTCTGTCTCCTGGAGGTCCTCCTCCTTCTCCTCTCTACCTAGGGCCTGGACACCCTCCAACTCTCTGTTTCCCAGGAGCAGGGAGAAGGACAGTGTGTCAGTTGGGGAGACGCTGTGGGCAGTGCAGGCCACCTCCTGGTTCCTTCCAGGCACCAGAGTCGCTGGGGATACAGCCAGCTGGTCCGGGAAGGCTGTGGGCACAGCGGGTGCCTGCTCAGGGCTGAGGAGCCCACAGGTCAAGGCTGGGCCAGATGTGGGGGCCGGCGGGGAGGCCACAACTGGGCACTGACCACACCCCGGCTGAGTAGGATGGGAAGGGCTCGGAGGAGCCAGATGAGGGTCTGGGTGGAGCGGGGGCTTCAGAGCGAGGGTTTAAAGATGGGCCTGGGAGAGAGGGCGAAGCCTCACCGTACACCAGGAGTTTCACTGTGCGCTGGAAGCGACGGTCCCCGCAAGAGCCCTCGCACACGCGCGTGCCGGTTGCCGACAGCGAGGCGTTGTGCACGGAGAGCACGCTGCTGCCCGCCTCCGACAGCACCGCGCCCAGGCCGATGTCCAGGCCCCGCCACCGCACTCTGGCCGCCCCGCCCGCACAGGCCAGGCTGCAGGTGAACTGCAGCGACGCGCCCACGGCCATGGCCACCTCGGGCTCCGGGGGCTCCACGTGCAGGGGCTGACCTGCGGGGACGCAGCTCTTAGCCCAGCGCAGGTCCTGCCTGCTGCCCGACCTCCACCTAGGTCCTGGACTGTGAGGTCGGAGGGCGGCCCAGGCCCACCCCTCCCCCTCCCCTCCCCCACCTCAGTCCCTCCCTTCCCCATCCCCTCCCTGCTCACCATGCCCCGGCTGGAGGAGCCCCAGGGAGAGGGCCAGCAGGAGGGCGAGGCCCTGCTCCATGCTCTCCCCTCTTGTGCTCCCCTGGAGGGAAACGGCTTAAATAGCTGCGTCCCGGCAGCTTCCCGCCTCTGCAAACCTGCTTCTCCGCCCCCTCCTCCGCAGCTCCCCGGGGGGGGGTTTCCCGAGGGGCTTTCCTGGCCTAATCCAGAGGCCAGGGCTGGGGGCCAAAGGTGGGGCGAGGACCCGGGAACCAGGGCGGAACAGATGGGGCATCAAGGTTGGGTCCTGTTCCAGACTGGCTTATGGACGGGAAGGCAGAGGATGGAGCCTGCAGAGGGTCACGGTGGAGGTCAAGTGCATGGGAATCGGTGCTGGAGCACTTCCTGACCACTGGTCAGATCTGGGCCTTCACCTCTGCGGGCAGCTTGCAGGGGTGTGGAGGGCAGTGTGGCCAGTTCTGCCTGGGCAGGGTCTCAGGGGAGTCCTGGGCTGGGGCCTCCTGCGTGTGGGATCTCCTAGGGGCTCCAGGCCTGAGGCTGTCACAGAACTGTCAGACCTGCCCATTTCTGAGTTCCCCGGCTCCATCCTTCCCAGTGGCCAGGGTCCCCCCACCTCAGGCACTGGGAAGCCTGGGTGCCAGGATGGACCTGGCCTCCGGAGCCTGCGTTGCCTTTCACTCATCCTGGACTCACCCCCTTTCTGCCTGGGGCACTGTCCCTGTTCCTCTGCTAGTCCTTCCTGGTCTTCCCCACAGGGACTTGAAGCCCCTCTGCCCTGCCCTGCCCTGCCTTCCCTCCGAGCCTCTGCATGGCCCCACTCCCACTCCTTCAAGTTCCGCCCAAAGACCCTGGGTCCTCTTGCCCGCCCGTCCCCCTTCCCCAGGTGCTTTTCCGAGAGGCCCTCTGGGACCTTGTCTGCATGCCCACCATGACCCCATCTGTGCCCTGCAGGAAGGAGGACAGCACAGCATCCTGGCCTGCCTCCACTGATCTCGGGGTGTGGCCTTCAAGAGAATTCGGGCACTGGGGTGGAGCCCACCCATGTCAGAGGCAGAAACTGGGAGCAGTGAGGGACCCTGCAGCCATGTGTGGACCTGGCCTCTGCACACCCCCCCCCCATGCGCAGTGCCGGGAAGAGCCTTTCAGGAAGGTGGACTCCAAGGAGCTGGCCCTTCCCGGGAAGCTGGGCTCTTAACCCCGTCGAGGGGCCACAGGCATGGTGAGTGGGCCGCTTCCCAGCCCTGACCTGGCTTCCTGCTGCCCTCCAGCCCAGAGTGGTGGGGAGGGGTCAGGGCGCCGGGCAGGCTGAGGCCCCAGGGGCGTGTCCCCAGCTCTCCTCCCAGCCCAGCCCTTGCTGGACGACCATGGTGCTCAGGTCAGACTTTACCTGTGGACCTGAGCCTTTCCTGTCTACAGTGGCCAGAAGGACAGGTGGGCTGGCCCCAGGGGAGGCTCTGGGCAGAGGGCCACAGTTGGGAAGGGGGAGAGTGAGACAGAGGAAGACACTGAGAGAGATACAAAGAGAGGCAGAGACAGAGAGAGATAGGCAGAGATAAAGACAGAGAGACACAAAGAGAGACAGAGCTGGAGATGTACACAGAGACAGTGATAAGAGAGATACAGAGACAGAGAGGAGGAGATGGTGAGAGGCAGGGATTTGGGGCTGAGTTCTGAGAGGCTCAGGGAGGTGTGAGCAGCCGGAGAGCCCTAGTTCCAAGTCCTTGTGTCCTGGTGAGCTGGGCCCAGGCTGAGCTGTGTTTCCTGCCACACCTGGGCACCTGGGCCCTGGGGCTGCTTCCTGCAAGTCCAAGGCACTGACCCCCTTCCTGGCATTGTCCTGTGGGAGGAAGTGCTTATAACTGGCCAGGAAGCCTCCTTCCATGGAGGGTCCGGCCTCCCCAGAGACCCAGCGTCCTGCTTCCCTGCCCCGGGTCTGGAGGAATGTTCCCGGAGAGAGCCTTGCTCAGCAGGGAAAAGCTGAGGCAGCCGAGTCCAGGGCCAGGAGCCACACACACTCAGGCCCCCACAGACCCTCACTTTCACCTCTGGCAGGGTGGCGTGAGAGGACGTCATTTAGTAAATACCTCAGTGGGCTGCGGCCCGGGACACCCCCAGGCTCCACCTGCACAGACTGCAGGAAGAGCTGGGGTTGGGACTCCACCCCAAGGGGGCCTGGCCAGAGGGCGACAGGGGCTGAGGGGATGACTCTGGGTTGACGCCATGCTTTTCCTGTTCTGGGAAGCTGACTTGGTTTGGCAAATTGGGATGGGCCGGGAGCCTCAGAGCCAGGGCCCTCTACCCTTGGGATGGGGGCAGCGAGAGAAGAGGCCTGAAGACCTCACAAGCCATGCTGCAGCTGAGGCCTCTGCGGAGGCTGGCACTGGATTCGGGGAGAAAGGGTCTGAATGGCTGGCTCTGGCCCCTGGAGGAGCCCTGAGTCCTAGGCAGGCCACCCAGGAGGAGTCATTGGATGAGCTGACCTCCCTTGCTGGGTGGGCAGCAGGCCAGCCTCCCTGGAGGCTGTGACCACCTCACTCCTCCCCACCTGGCTGGCTTGTCCACTGCCTGGGGCTGGCTGGACAGACAGCACTGACCAGGCCACCCCCAGGGTGCTGGATGTTCTGGTCTAGGGTGGTCCCTGCCTCAGTCACTGGGCATGGGCGGGTCTTGTGGTCTGAGCTGAACAGGAGAGACTGGGGCACCTTGGGGTCCCTGTGCAGGAGTCACCCCCCACCCAGCTCTGGGAGGGGCAGGCAGATGTGGCTTGGAGCTAGGTTTGGGTGAGGTTCTCCAGGGGGTGCTGGAGCAGGGTGGAACCTCAGAGCATGTGGGGTCACAGGTGGGCTTGAAGCACCTGAGTAGGACCTGCAGCCTGACCTCCCAAAGGCCCTGCCACCGAACTTATTGTCCCTGACCTTAGGACCTGGTGGCCAGCTTGTGCGGTCCTCCAGCGGGAGCCCCTTGCTGCAGCAGCTGGCTGGGGGACCTCAGGGCCTTGGGGAGCAACTGTGGCTGGCTGGTTGTGCTAGGGTGAGGATGGTCCCCAGGACTGCTGGGAGCAGAGAGCAGGCACCACCGACTACTGCGCAGTCAGCAGCTGGTCAGTGGCCCCAGGCCAGTGGTGGGGTGTTTTTCTTCTAACCTGCAAGTCAGTCTTAGGACAAAGGACCCAGCACTACCTGCTGGAGACGGGAAGGTACAGAACTCCTAGACCTAAAGGCTGAAGCTTTTCTGGGGCCAACAGTGTCCTCCAAACTCATGTCCACATAGAGCCAGCTAACATGGCCTTGCTTGGACATGGTGCTCTGCAGGCATGGCGAGTTAGTGACTAGCCTGGTGCAGTGACCAGTGTCTTCATACGGGACAGACCTGAGGTGCGCATCCCAAGGTGGCATGATTCTCAGGGTGGACACAGCGAGGCAGATGCACCTCCTGCTGGACATCCACAGAGAGCAGAGGCAGCAGAACCCACCCAGAGTGCCTGGGTCCAGAGTGCTTCGGATTTCAGTTTCTAAGTTTGCAATATTTAGTTAATAGACTTTACTGGTTGAGCATTCCTAACTCAAAACTCTGAGATATGGAATGCCCCAGAAGCTTCGACAGTTTGGATTTCAGAAAAGACACTATTTACAGTAGCATCAAGCCGACAAAATGCCTATGGACGCCCTGGGGCAGGATGCGCAGGCGCTGGACTAGAAAGGGGGCTGCTGCCAGAGAAGTCACACTGAGCAAGGGGGCTGACTCAGGTCCTGAGGCTGAAGGTCCACTATTGGTGACGTCCATTCTTCCTCAGTGGGTCAGTGCCACATGGACCAGAACGCCACAGAGCGTTCTGTGAATGCCACACACGGTGTTCACTCAGGGGGGCGGGAGCCTGTGTGGTACCCCAGAGGGACAAGCCCCAACATGTGGGCACCCAGTTCTGTTGCAGCCCTCCATCACAGCAGGGCGGGGTGACACCCCTACTCTGTGCACTAGTGCCACCAAGCCTGAGTGACCCTGGCCAGTGTGGAGGTTTCCTCAGCACACCCGGCCCATCCTCTCTGCGCACGAGTGGGAAGCCCAGGCCTCTGGGACTTCTGCCCGGCCTGGTTCCACACTGCCTGGGGTGAGGCCTGCAGGCGGTGCTCAGTAAACCTGTGAAGCACCTATCTGCCCACCTGACCAGCACCTAACAGGACGACAGAGGTCGAAGGACAGCGAGTTACCTGGACACACTCAGCCGGGGAGATGTGGAGTCCCTGGTCCCAGTCCCACTCAGCCCTGGCCCCTTCAGCTGAGCCCCTCCCCAGGGAAAAGGCAGGAGCCGGGTCACCATCTCTCCCTCCCTGTGGCCTCAAATGGCCTTGAAGCCATTTTTTCCCTTTGCCACTGGCCAGAGCAGGAGATGCCTCCTGACGCCAAGTTCATGGCCTCCCACCATCCAGGGAGGCTCCACGCGCTTGTGCTTCCTTTTCCTGGGTACACACTTCTGCAGGGCTCACTCTATGTGCATCCACGTCTTCACTGCCCGTGTCCTTCAGGGCCTGGCCTGGCCCCTCTCCTTAGCTGCCCACCCCTAACCTCCTGGCTGGTGCCTCTGGGTCAAAGCGTCTGGAAGACAGAGCTCCCCGCTGCGGCCACAGGGCACTCTTCACTCCTCTCCTCACGTGCCCAGGAGCCCCCAAAGGCAGCCTTAGGCCTCCCTGGCTTCCTCAGCTGTCCGCTGCGTTCTTCCCCAGCAGATCCATAGCTGCTTCCTGAAATCTCAGCTGTTTTTACTGCAGGAAGACGGTGGAAACGCTTTCCAGTACTGGGGGAGAGCAGTGGGCGGAACCGCCAGCCACGCAAGCCCCGGCCAGGGACAGGTAACCCTCCCACC